AATATTTTATAAAACCTGTATCATTTTTCCTCTTAACGTAGATGCACATCTTGTTAAATGGTCACCCAGTGGTGAGGTATACGTGGTAGTTATAGCTAACAAAGTGGATATTTACAACCTTGAAACTGCTTCTATTTCTGGCACCATTGTTGCAGAAAAGAGAATATCTTCAGTAAAGTTTCTTACAGTAAGTAGTAATACAGTGTTAAAGTAAGTAAAGCATTTTAAATAAATTCAATCTGATTTATGTTTTCTTCACCTTTTCCTTCAGGATTCCATACTTGCCATTGCAGGAGATGAAGATTTTGTACGGTTATTTGATTGTGAATCTCAAAAGTGCCTTTGTGAATTTAAAGCTCATGAAAAAAGGTATTTTATTTCTGAAACATAATAGAAAGGATATTATGCATGCTCTGGCACAACTTTTAGGAGTATATAATAGTCAGTTTTTAATTTTTTCTCTTTGGATTCTTGTTTTGTATTTTCATTATGAATGTGCCGTAGTTTAGCACTTCAATTTTTTTTACTGATTTTAACATGCAAGAAAGCATGTGTTTAAACCAGTAGCACTTTAAATGGTTAAAAAGGGCTGAATTTTGTCCTATCGCCAGTTTTCTTAGTGCTTGCTGCTGTTTAATTTTTACCGATTTTATTGGGATATTTCATATCAACTATTGATCCATAGAGTAAAAGAGATCTACACTTTTGAAATGGAAGGCTTACATATTCTGGTGACTGCATCCAGCGATGGATACCTTAAGATGTGGAGTCTTGATCTTGAGAAGGTTTGTATATTACAAAGCTAAGTGCACCATTCATGGTTGAATCCTAAATTCCAATAAGTGCAGTAGCGTACTTCTGAGTAAAGACAGCTAGGATTACGTTACAGGCGTGCCTGTGGCAGCCAAGTGAAAAGAGAAGTCACAGCTTTTACACCTTTAAGAGTTGTGTAGAAGAGGGCATTTCAGCAGGTAAGCTACATCTTCTGAAATCCCGTCATCAATACAAATATTAATGGTGTAAGCCCTTCTCTTTTTTTGATCTGGCCATCCAAGTTGTCCCCATCCTATCTTGGTTTGTTTGTTTGAAGAGTCATTTTGCTGTTGGTTTCACAGGTTGCGGATTCAACCTATGGGAACATATGGAAGCTTCCTTATAGTTAGTCAGCCCATTGGTCCATCTTGCTTCATAGGGTCTACTGTGCACTGCTTGGCAGCAGCTCTCCCAAAATTCCAGACAGGATTCACTCCCAGTCCTACCTAGAGATGCCAGGAATTAAGACTTAAGCACTTGGAGTTTTCTCCATTGCTGCTACAGAACAACATGGTTTCTGGGATTTACATTAACCATTTCTTTTCCCCTCCCTTCAGATTAATAATTCCCCGTCATTGCTGTGTGAAGTCAATACTAAGGCCAGGCTTACCTGTTTAGCAGTTTGGCACAAAAGAGATTCAGAAGCCAAGAAGATCCCCAATGAAGCCACAACATCCTCGCAAGGTATCATAAAGATTCCTGGACTTCTGTTAAGTTTTCAGCTGTAGGTAATACAGCAATGACTTGTTTAAAAAAGGGTTGATATATATTAACCAGATCCTACCATAAAGTATATTTACAACGTTTTGGGGACAAGTGATTTTGCCTCTCATCAAACCAGTTCGCTCTGCAGAGTTGAAAAACGCATAGGTCCAATGATAGTTTGATTCAAGTTATTATTTAGACAAGGGTGGTCATGGAGGTTGCTGTTCATACATTCAACAAAAAAACAACTGGCTATTTTGTAAAATGTAGACTCCAATTTGTCCCTCTATTCATCTTCACCCCAAAGATGCCTCTGTAAGTAGTTAGTGTTTGGGGCTGTTTTCTCTTTTCCTTTGCAGTGCCCTTCAGCCTTTCTAAATCTGTTCTAGAGGACTAGGGGAACCTTTGGAGTGGATGTGGGAAGCTGCAGGAGAAATTTGTGAAAAAATTCTCTCTCTGCCTTCCGTTCATGGAAGCCTCCCCTGGAAGAAAGAGCCTTCCATGTGTAGAGGGACACATTGAATACTTTCCAGTGTATTTAAAGCATTACATCTTTAAATTTTACAACGAATAACTTCATTTTGTTTCAGCGCATGAAGAGGAGCAACCATTGATAAAGAAAAAGAAAATTGGTTGGGCTGAGTGTGATAAGTCATCAGAGGGTGATGTCCAAGAAACCCTCAAGAAAGGAAAATCGGCTGGTGTGCAGCAAAAGAAGAAAAAGATAATGCAGAAATTAAAGTGAATATGTCACTACCATTTGCAATTCTAATCCTATAATAAATTGCCACCAATTTCCAGCACAATTTTTTACTTAATTGCAATATTATGGCTATGCATTCATGGCAATTTGATCTGTTAATATTTATAGAAAGGAACCATTTTTATTTAAGCTGTGAGCATTTCCAGATCCTATGACCAAATGTTTTTACAGAGGAGGAAACATTTTATGTGGTTAAATAAATATTTTATATAAAGCACCTGAAACGTTCTGTTGTAGTGGTTGAATTTGTAAGTTTTGGAAGAACAAGTACAGAAATCTTCCTAGTATGAAAATACTTTTTAATTATTAATATAGGGTGATATGCTTGGATTCAGCATGCCATCTTAGTTATGATGAAGTTATTTTGTGGTTCATTTATATAATGTTTTTTGGCCCAAAGGCCCCTAAAGTATAAACAGAATATTAATGCAAATTACAAACCTGATAGAAGTACAAAAAGTAAAAAAGTAAAGGTAAAGGACCACTGACAGTTAAGTCCAGTTGCAGATGACTCGGGAGTTGCGGCGCTCATATCGCTTTACAGGCCGAGGGAGCTGTATGTCCGCAGACAGTTTTTCCAGGTCATGTGGCCAGCATGACTAAGCTGCTTCTGGTGCAACGGAACACCGAAACCAGAGCAGCGCACAGAAACGCTCTTTACCTTCCCACTGGAGCAGTACCTATTTATCTACTTGCACTTTTCGGCTTGCTTTCGAACTGCTAGGTTGGCAGGAGCTGGGACTGAGCAACAGGAGCTCACCCCATTGCGGGGATTCGAACCACCGGCCTTCTGATCGGCAAGCCCTAGAGCAGGGGTCTGCAACCCGCGGCTCCGGAGCCGCATGTGGCTCTTTTACACCTTTGCCGCGGCTCCAGGGCGGATACTAGCGAGGGGAGGAGGCGCATTGTGTGCCCCGACACTCCCCACTGTGGCGGGCGCTGTACTGGCTGTGACGTCGCATGGGGACAGTGCGTGTGTTAGTCACGCACCGTCCCGACGTCACCTTCCCACCTGCCCGCTACATTGTAAGGGGCATGTACGCTGGTCACTGCATTGAAAGGGGGCATGTACGCTGGTCACTGTTCTGAAGGGGAGTGAAGAACACACACAAACAAAAAAGGTAACTTGTTAATTTAACATTTATTTCTATGAGGAGGAGTAATTCTGAGGGGTCAAACAAAGAAATAATAAAAAAAAGTGACAAAAAAATTATTTTTATAATGACGAGTTTTGCGGCTCCCAGTTTTTTTTTCCTTCGGAAACGGGTCCAAGTGGCTCTTTTTGTCTTAAAGGTTGCAGACCCCTGCCCTAGAGGCTCAGTGGTTTAGACCATAGCGCAATATAAAAAGCAGAACCACTGAATGCCCACCAATCATACTGGAGATACATTTGTGAGTGTCATTCATGCTCTCGCCATAGAGACAGCTCCTCCGCCCTCTCCTTGGCAATTAGAAGTCAGGTTAACACACCCACACCCTAGGGTTGCCATATTTCATAGATTCAGGACAAAGCGCTGCCTTTCGGAAGTTCCCCATATGGCAGCCTTAGCACACCCTGACTCTTCCAGTTCAACTTGGGAGCAATCCCACTGACTCCCCACTGGCATATTTTGCTTCCTACTAGACCTTTTGATGACAGTGAGGTTTTCTTTTGAGTAAAAAGGCATAGGGTTGCACTATGGACAGAACTAGAATCTTCTCGCATAAATGTAATGGCCTATTGGGATTCTTTTCTGTTTTACCTTGATTGCAACAGTAGTGCAGCAACCAACTTCCTATTCTTATCTGACTGCCCAGTTCATACAAGCAACTTGTTATCTAACTGAAACCATAATAATTTTCAGGGTCCATTTAGCTCACTATTGCCAGCACTGACTGGACAGTAGGGTTTCAGGGAGGAAGTCTTCCTGGACCTACTTGGAGATGATGGGGATCAAACCTGGGACATTCTGCATACAAAACTCAAGCAGTGAGCTAAGGTCCATGCAATCCTAAAATTGCCTACTTACACAAGTAAATCATACTGAGTTTAATGTGATTTATTCCCAGATAAGCATTTATAGCGTTGCAGTCAAAGGCCAGATCCATATGTTTAAAACACCTGGCTTTTCCCAAAGAATGCTGGGAGTTGTAGTTCTGTGAAGAGGAAACTACAGTTCCCACGATTCTTTGGGGTCAGTCATGTGCTATAAATGTACCACTTTTACTTTTACCACTAAAAATAAATAAAACTACCATACAGGGTTGTTGTGATAATAAAATTAAATAAATCAAAATACGTTGTGGACTTGCGCTTAATTCCTACCCAGTAAATGTACTTGTGGCTGCAACCTGCCTTAACCAGCCCTGAAGTTTCTAATGAAGGTTTTTAATTTGTTGCAATGTTCGGTGTGGATTTCAGGGTTGCAAGAACCACCCCCCTTGCCCCTGTAAAACAGGCGCTCTCTCTCCCTAATATTCCAGAGAAACTAAAAAGAAAAGTCACTGTTTAGAGCTCGTCTCTTTTATGCGTGCAAAGATTAGTTTTGGATGCAACCATTGTGGATTGCACCAGCAGGGTGGAAAAACGCTTTTGCAATGGCTCAGAGGAATGCTCTGACGCTTTGCCTCGCCTTTAATGAAATAACGCCCCACCCCAGCCCCGGCTATGGTACGTTTGGGTTGACGTAGTAAGAAAACCAAACTTTCTGTAAGAAAACCAAAGGGCAAGTCGCTGCTTGGCCATGATTTTGCAAATACAACTCGGGTTGTTGCTCTGCTTGGCCCGCGGTCACGTGCGTTGCTGTTTTGTAGTTCTCCCATTGCCCGGCGGGTTCGATATTTGCACGGCTCGGTTTTGTTCTGTTCTTACGTTGTGACTCTTCTGCTGCTCCTCCTGCAGAGTAAGTGACTTTATTCATGGTTTTTCTCTTGTCTTAGAATAAGGCAGCAGCCAGCGAACTGGCTTTGTGCTGAACCTTTTATGAATACTGTATATATAATAGTTGGTGAACAGTGAAGGGATCCTGTGCAGACATAGATGGAAATCGGATTAATATCAGAGGGTAGTGTTCCCCCCCCATTACAAAAATTCAGAGTTTTAATAAAATAATGCCTTATCGATCTAAATTGGAGCTTTTGATTAAGACTACAGATTCTTTCTAAGCCTGGGTGTTCCAAGACTTCAAAACAAAACCCCAGATAATTCTCTACTTCCAAGGAAAAAAAAACCTCCAACAAAACAGACATCTAAATATGAGTAACACATGTGCGTTTATCTTGAAAATAATTGTCAGAGAACTCTTTGCTTCTAGTTACATTAAGTTAGAAACTTTTTATAGACTGACCTGAAATTAAATAAATTACTACATTTTGAATTCCACCATTGCAAGAAGTATAGGGTATAGTTTTAGCCTCACAACCACACAGTGAGTTAAGTTCAGACTGAGGATTATGTATGTTTTCCTTTAGTCTGTTTCCCTCTCCCCCATAATTTCAAAATTTAGAAGAGCATGCTAAGGAAATGTAACTTTATGAGTCTATTATTATTTAAGTCTGCAGGTGTTTAGCAAACCAATGTATAAACCCAACATTAAAGATGTGTCTGTGGAATTCATTTCATATTTCTGTGTCCATTCCTGGTAAATGTACAGTGGTACCTCAGGTTAAGTACTTAATTCGTTCCGGAGGTCTGTACTTAACCTGAAACTGTTCTTAACCTGAAACACCACTTTAGCTAATGGGGCCTCCTGCTGCCGCCGTGCTGCCGGACCACAATTTCTGTTCTCATCCTGAAGCAAAGTTCTTAACCCTAGGTAATATTTCTGGGTTAGCAGAGTCTGTAACCTGAAGCGTATGTAATCCGAGGTACCACTGTACTTACAAACACATCTTACATTGCTCTTTCAGCAAGTGTTTTACAATCCTTACTTCATTTCTCTCCTCTACAGTTTAGAGGTAGGGAATTGCTACTTGCACGGAACACCATTTTTGATTGGTTTCTCCAAAACCACTCAATAAATCCAAGATCAAGCTAATATATTTTTTTCCTTTTGAAAAAGTGTTCCCCCCCTTATTATTTCTTAAATTAATATACTGCCCTCCATCCAATGATCACAGGGTACCTTAAGGTATAAAAACACAAAAATACATAACCAAAAAACCCCCCACATTTAAAGGCCATAAACTGGGGTTTTCTTCTAAGCAAGTGGGTTTTTTTTCATGAGCACTGTCAAAATAAACCGAAACAATGGAGGCTGTGAGCAGGAATATGTTAAATTGTCATTTACCTGCAGTAATCAGGCATGGGAGAATTTATAGAGTTCTAGTCTTGTCTTCTATATTTTATGGTTGCCCATATGCCTGAAACAATTTAAATTGGTATTTGATGGGCAGGCCAGTAACTTCTGAGACCTTATTAGCAAGACTGAGAATATGACAAATGCTGTGTCCTAGGAAGAACAGTCTACAGTTTTAGCACAAGCTACAAAAAGTCAATTTGTATCTGATTTCCATTCGTTGCAAACATTTACCACATACATATCTCTATTGCATTCCAGAATGGGGTTGGACTGGATTGGTTTTGGCTATGCAGCTTTAGTGGCTTCTGGCGGGATGATTGGCTATGCAAAAGCAGGTATAGTATTGATGTCGCCTCACAGTCTTGTTTTCTGGTGTTAAATAGCCATTTCAAACATGGTGCCCTCCAGCAGTTATTGGACTCCAGTTCCCATCAGCTCTAGCTAACAGAACCAATGGTCAAGGATAATGGGAGTTGTAGCCCCGCACATCTGGAGGGCACCAAGTTAGGAAACGCAGAATTATATTCTCTAAAATGGAGGTCCCTCTTGAAAAAACGGAAAACTTCCAACTATGCATTCCTACTATCAGTCTATATACAGATACCAAGTTGCTGTTACTAGTTTTTGCTGTAGGGTGCTGATTAGCAGTTGTAGGGAACTGACACCCTTCCTATGAAAAAGTGCTTTAGGAAGATAAGGGCACAGGCAGAGCTATGCTGATAATCTATGGCAAGACCCGAAATGTTTGCATGTTGCAGGCCATATTGTTTTCCCCTGAGTTGCGCACAGTGCCCATCAAGGTGTCAAATATTCACTAAAATTTTACTCAGAGTAGTACTGAAATTAATGAAGATTAGGTCCAACAATTTCAATGGGGCTACATAAAACTAAGTTAAATACCACCCATGGTTATTTGAACAAACTTGTTGCACTGTGATTCTAACATGTAGATTTTCACCTCTGCAGCACAGCTAAACAGTGTATCTTGTGTTGCAATGGCATATTGTTAGCATTGACAGAACTTACCTACTCTGCCTAGAAACAAGAACTTCCTTAACGTTTTGAGGGAAGCAGAAAAACCCCTCAGAAAAAAACAATAATTTGTTTGAGGGGGTTGGAATATATGTAATATGTATTTTCCTACCAAACCTAACACAGATACACAACTACCTAGGCAGCAAGTACAGTAATGTATTTTGTGTTCATAGAGGGAAATAATTGTTGGGGTTTTTTCACCCCATGGTTTTATTTCTACAAATGAATAATTTAACAAGAAAGGTCTCTCAAGAACTGATGGTAGCAGTTCTGTAACAAAAGCCGTTCGGGGCATATTTTTCTCTGGGCTTGCATGTATAACTTCCATTAACCTTGATGGAAAATCGATGTATTGATTTGTGATGATACTCTTCACGTGGTGAGGGGCTTCTTACAGCATTCTTCTGGCAGCATTTTTAGTAGTTGGAATGATGGTTAGAGACATAATGGTCTCTGGGAATAAGTGTCAAGGTGGGGAGGGGTGGACCCAGATGGAAGATTTTTTTTTTGTTTATTTTGTCCTTCATTTTAACTTCTCTGTGGCTAGAAGGCAAGCAAATCAAAATTTAAAAGAGGGAAGCAACAACCTAATGCCATGTTTTTTAAGATATCTAGGAGGAGAGATCTAAGCATTTGAATTCCAGGACTGGCTTTTTATTCACAAGGGCATTATGAAAATGACAGATCACATACTGATGATGAGAATAACAAATCATTGAAAGTCATTTCAGTGGCATGATGGAAGGAAGGCAGAATGCCTAGACAGAAAATACTCAAGGCCATTTTAACAGTGCCCTTGATGCTTCAAGTCCAATTAGGTTTGACCTGCAAATGGAACAAGTGGTGTTAGAAATCGGTGTTGAGTGCTCCCTTAAGCCTTATTAATGGCACCAGTAGCCAAAGGTGGTGACATTTCATCAATTTCGTTTGCAGGTCACCTCTTTATATATAAACTGATAATGGGAGTAGAAGCAGCCTCCTGAGGCCACTTTCCTAGAATAGTGCAGGATTATCCTTTGCCCAGAGTAACTGTACTAAGGGCTCATTTAAAAGGACACTAAAGTGAATGTTGAGTTACACCAAAGTAAATGTTGAGTTTTACTATGGGGAAGTTGTGAGGAGACAACAGAAAGAACAGGGGGTATGTGCTTGTTTGCTTTTTAAGGTAGATTTCTATTTCTGGTTTGTAGGCTGGCCCGATGTAATGTCAAACTTCGATGTGATCAAACCATAAAGTGAGAGAGGGAATTAGAGTGCATGAGAGAAGGAGCGAGTATCTATGTTCAGCACCTGGACAAAAAAAACAGGCCATGGTTTGCTGTTATATGTGAACAATGTCTTCATCTTTGAGTAGATGAGCAATACTACTAGCCTTTTTTATTATGTGAAAAATATGTTCATCCTTCAAGTATTTAAAAGGGGAAATTTAAATAGTTGGGGTAAACCTTACCTGTTTCCCAGATGGCACATAAGATTATGAGGTTAGCATAGTGCACTGGTCTTCCATCTGGTGGGCTGCAGCCTGATTCAAGGTGGGTTGCAATAGAAGTTTAAAAAATGGGTCCTCAAATGCATGTTTTGATGACAAGTGGGTTCTTAGTCTGAATAGGTTGAAGATATCTGGGACAGCAGATACCACATATTTGGAAGGCAGGACTTTTCATGTTTTTCAGACCATGTTTTTCAATACCAACAGGCAACATTGCACCTACTTAATTTTTATTTTATTTTTTTACAATATACAGTCATCTTTCTCCTCTGTTTTTAGCATGCTCTACCTTCCTTTGCCTTCACTTACCAAAACCTTCAAAGAAAATGGTGGTCCCACTGGTGCGACCAACCTTGGTGTGCCTTACATGCGGATCTGACCCCACCAGTTCAGGGCTTGCACTATAAAGCATCAGGTCAATTCAAATATTAAACATTTGAGCAATGTTTTTTTTTTTTAGCTGAAAATTACTTAGAACAGAATAAATTTTGTTGGTTTGGTTTATGTACCCTGTTTGTATCTACGGCTTAACAAACATTACTTGTTTTCTTTATTCCAGGTAGTGTCCCATCTTTAGCTGCTGGTCTTCTTTTTGGGAGTTTAGCAGGACTTGGAGCTTACCAACTTTCTCAAGACCCAAAAAACATTTGGCTTTCACTGAGTAAGCATAACTGGGGAAATGTGAATTACGTAAAAGTAACAGGTGCGCTGTGGGTTAAAGCCTCAGCACCTAGGACTTGCCGATTCGAAAAGGTCGGCGGTTCGAAAATCCTGCGGCGGGGTCGCTCCTTCGTTCGTCCCAAGCCGCCTGCCAAGCCTAGCAGTTCGAAGCACCTTCGGTGCAAGTAGATAAATAGGGACCGCTTACTAGCGGGAAGGTTAAACGGGTGTCGTGTGCTGCGCTGGCCTGCAGAGCAGCGATGTCCGCTGCACGTGACCCGAAGTGTCCTGCGACAGCACTGGCTCCCGCCTATAAAGTGAGATGAGCGCACCAACCCCTAAGTCTGGCAAGACTGGCCCATACGGGCAGGGGTATTACCTTTAACCTTTAACTTTTTAACCACAACCTTTGAATGCATCTAATGCATTTATTTCATTGGTGTACTATAAACAACAGCAACGCAAACCACTTGATACAAGCAGCCAAAGTTAAATACCAATTTTATCAGGAGGCTGATTTGGAATAAATGTGGGGTCCCTTTCATGTGTGGTGTTGTGTGTTGTACCAGGAAGTTGATTCTGGAGCACACGTGCATAGCATCATTTGATGAATTAAACCACATGTGTCAGTTAAAGCAATCCTAAACACACTTACTAGGGAGCAACCCCATCCCAACACAGTAGGACATCATCAGGGATGATGGCAGTTGTAGTCCATCATCTGGAGGACAGCTGGTTCCCCATCCCTGCTCTGAGATATATCCCATGCTCCCTATTGTGTGCTGTGATGCAACTTGCAATTAGGAAACATCCCTTAAGAGTACATTTTGTCAACTGCTTAGCCCAATTGCACAATGCTGGCTTTTTCACTACTTTTCTCTGAGGTTAGATTTTAGGTAGAAGTAGATTATTCATCTTACAGTTCATCATTTCTGTCTGGCAATAATAATAGTAATAATAATAATGTGTAATTTGAACTTGGTGTGAAATTTCTGGAGTATTTTGTTGATTAGGTAGTCAACAAATTTTCAAAATAAATATTAAATAATTGTTTGGTTGAAGTTGTTACTAAGGAGTGTAAAACGGTTACATTGGTACACATCTTTGAGCTGTGTGTGTCCTTGTTTGTTTGCGCATGTGACATAATAAAGTTGATAAATTGGCTTTTTTAATCATTGCCCTCAAGTGGGCAGAAACACCCCTGATATAATGCTGCTTCTGTTTCTATCTTTCAATTAGTTGCTTCTGGAACCTTAGCTGGTATTATGGGCATGAGATTCTACAACTCGGGGAAATTCATGCCTGCAGGACTGATTGCTGGTGCAAGGTATTATGCTGCGTGTTTATTTTATTTATTTTGCTTTTGACATTAAGGCTGCATTCCTGTTGCATACATGCCAGTTAAAATCAATGGGACATACCAGCACTTCTAAACAGGCACAGTTAGGATCAGGCTGTAATTTTAGTTTTATAAAATTGCATTCTAGAAACTGTACTGCATAACACTTTTTTGGGATAAGCAATTTCGTTGTGCATTTCGGTACTTTTTATTAGATAAGATCATTTTATTAAGCAAGATCTGGTTTAGATTGACCCATTCCATGGCTTTCAAGACTATACATGCCGGCCACCTTTCGAAACCTTCTCTTCTCCCCCTGCTCCATCTCCCATAATCTATATTCCACTCATTGGCAACCAAATCCTCTTATTAGCCATCCCTTCAGCCAATCAGCAGTTGACTTGTTGATAGCTTAATTAAAATTCTTAAGTTGCCTTTCTTAAGCATGTCCCAAGGTGAGTTAACAGATATACAAAATACACAACATTGTAAAATGAAACAACAGTGGAAACCATATAATACTAAAAGCATGCATTCCATAAAAATTAACAAAACAGAAGTGGTGTACTCTGAAGCCAAATCAACCTGGTGGCTACGTCTGCATTTCTCCAGGAAGGGAGATTTTCTCACTTGCACTGTAGACCCCTTGGAAGAGATGGGGGCACAGGCTGTCTTAGCACTGCCAAAAAATGAGACAAGCTTTACCTGGTCCTGAGGAACTGTATGGTTCCAGTTTGGGAAGGCTGAGAGTTGGGGCTACTGACATAATGGAGAACTACTGGACAACATGTTTGCTTTCTCCCATTTCTGTCCCAGCCTCCGAAATAAAATATTGGAGGTGTGTTGTACAGTCAGAAGAGCAATTACCGTATTTTTCTCTCTATTACACGCAGATTTTTTCTCCTAAAAAGGAAGGGGAAATGTCTGTGCGTGTTATTGAGCGAATGTGGGGGGGGTCCCTGGAGCCGATTAGGGGAGCGCAGGAACAAAAATCAAATCGTGCGTTGCGTCGGAGAGGGAAACCTGAAAAGAGGAAGTGGTTGCTTTCCTGCATTCTGCCTCAGGGTCTTACTGCCCACTCGCTTGTGTTTCATTGCTGTGTTTGCTCAAACGGAACAAAGAGCAGGCAAATCCCCTCCCCTCCAGGCAAGCAGAGGGGAAAGCAGAGGTCTTTCCTTCTAATTCCTCTCCGTGCTCCTCGCAGGCAGCCAGAAAACATGCAGGAGAGAGAGAGCTGGCTTCGGTTTGGGGAAACTTTTTCCTTTCTTTCCTCCCTCCCGTTAAATCCCTCTCCTGCATTCTTAGCCAGCTGCTTCTCTGCACACCCCTCTCATGCTCCTTTTCCCTTCTGTGTTTTTCCTTCCCTCCCCACTTAAAATGTAGTTACAAAGCATGGATCCACATGGATCCTCAGGATCTTTGGATTGGGCCACCCCAAATTCACCATCAGATCACATAGCAGCCTGCCCCCCAAAAATCACACACCCACTGTTGCCTGGGGCTGCAATGGTGCAAAAACGTGGTTAAAAAGCATGGATCCACATGGATCCTCAGGATCTTTGGATTGGGCCACCCCAAATTCACCATCAGATCACATAGCAGCCTGCCCCCCAAAAATCACACACCCACTGTTGCCTGGGGCTGCAATGGTGCAAAAACGTGGTTAAAAAGCATGGATCCACATGGATCCTCAGGATCTTTGGATTGGGCCACCCCAATTCACCATCAGATCACATAGCAGCCTGCTCCCCAAAAATCACACACCCACTGTTGCCTGGGGCTGCAATGGTGCAAAAATGTGGTTAAAAAGCATGGATCCACATGGATCCTCAGGATCTTTGCATTGAGCTACCCCAAATTCACCATCAGATCACATGTCTGTGGCCACAGCATGAAGCACAAAAATGATACATCCACTGTTTCATTCAGAATGTTTTTCCCCTTGTTTTCCTCCTCTAAAAACGATGTGCGTGTTATGGTCAGGTGCGTGTTATAGAGCGAAAAATACGGTATGTAGGAGGCGGCTTCGCACAGTTCTGTCATATAGATAAACTTGACTACATTTTCCTTTAAAGCCTCCTGATGGTTGGGAGACTTGGACTGAAGATGTATGAGAAGCCACATGAAGGATAACAGGACCTCACACGAGGCTTGAGACACATGGATAAGAAGACTGAACACCAGGCACCAGGATGAGTGTGCTATGGGAAAGAGAAGGACAAAGAAAGAGCACGCCCTAAATATTGAGGGTCCTAATTCTTAAAAACATATGATAGAGGTCATTGACAGTGTCTTATTGTGTACAGAAATGTTTCCTTTTCACATTCTAGAAGTAACTACTGTTTATGATATGAAATTCAGTGTGGTATATTTGTTGTAGATGAAGACAATGTGTGTTGACTGGAAAGGCAAAGGCAGGCTTTTGGCTTAACCAATAAAGAGATTATAAATTATAAGGCAGCAGGGAAGGCGTGGCTGAATGCAGTTTTTATCTGTTCTGTTGCATGGAAGCAGCAGAGATCAGGGTCGGCCTGGCTTCCACCATGGCCCATATTGCTTTATTCTAAAAGCTGTGGGAATAGTTCCTTATGCTGGTGTTCTGACGTAACAGTACTCTTCCAAATTCACATAGTAATAACATTTACAAGGATGTATATAAAGGCAAATTTGATAGAGTCTGAGAACCCTCATCTTACCTGCTTCTTATAGCATGTCCAGGGAGCCTTTGTCGCTTCAGATGTTGTTGGATTCCAACTCCCATTAGCCTCAGCCAGTAGGGTCAATGGTCAGGGATGATGGGAGTTGTGGTCCAGCAACCACTGGAAGGCCACAGCATACTCACCCCTCTCACATATAGGATGTTTTTGCAGGCATTGAAAGTCGCTGCAGATGCCATCATAGTTTCAGCAGAGGAGAGGATCAGGCTTAACCCTGATGGAGTTTTCAGCTAGGAGCTTGCTTCTATAGAAACATAAGGGTAATATTTTTCTTACCATGTTAAGTAAAATGCTACTGGTTTTTGTTTTTGTTTTTAATTAAACAGATAGAATTATGGTAGTCAAAACTATTCTTTACTGGATTGGTATACTTTTGTGCTCTTCTTTTTTCGAACTTATTTTTATTATTATTTTTTGAAAGATGCAGTCTTTGATCGTATATCCATGTCTTATCTTTTTTAATATAATGAATTGGTGGGAAATACTGAATTCAATCCATATATGCTATTTTCTTACAGCATTAAACCCTATGCAGACGACTTGACATTTCTGTTGTGATTGATTTATAAGTAACAATTGCTTTCATAGTGTTTGTAACCAAATGGAAAAAAGTTTCCATAGTTATTCGACCAGACATTTTCACATCTTTGAGAATAATGGTGCAATGCCCAAAACGTGGGAAGCTATTCAAGTTGTGATTTGTATACTGGGTGTGACAGGGACACTGACGTTTTAGTTAGGATAAACAAGATAAATCATTGTGTGATGCATCCATAAAGAGTGGAGGCTCAGGCAAAAACCTTAGTCTGATTGCCAGTGTGTAGAATGTGGGCCTGTGCTGTGTGATGGGCAGAAATTCAGCAGCGATCCTTTCCTATCACTGTGGTCCTATGATGAAAAATGCTCTATGCACCTCTACCAGCAAAAATTAACAACGTTGTTGGGACCCCTGCCCTGAAGAAGAATGAATGGGAAGTGTTTGTTGCTAACTAACATTCAGTTAGTCTTGTTAGAGGTTTGTTTCACTCATGACCCAACTATGTATTGCAGAAAATAAGAATGGTCAAAATTCTTTGGTTTGCACTATTACACGGGTGCTAAAACCAAAGGATTTATCATGTGGTTGGCAGGCCACAGTATCTGAGTAGTGTGCTACCTTTAGTCTGGGGGAAGCAGGTGGACAATTTTGATAGCCTACTGTAGATTGAACATGCACATATAGCACGCAGCGTCTCTATATGATAATATGGATGACATGAAATGATAGGCTAAAGCCGCTTCTGCATTTTAGGCAGCCAATGTGAATGGATAACAAAGGGAAAGGTCAAAAGTGATGGGGTACAACAAGCTTAGGGGGGGGAGCCTCCAAGCAGACCTCTCCAGAGACAAATGTATGGCTCTGGTTTGAACAGACACATTAAAATAATACGTTGTGTGTGGATTGTATCTGCATTAGCATTTGCAGGTTGAGACGACAGAGGGTGCTAAAAAGCTTTGCTGTCTCAGATAGGATTAATATGGAATTTTAAAAAACACACAGATGAAACATGAAAATGTAAATCCAAGCTTCAACTTCTTGGATAGAAATTGTGCTGTTACGATAAGACATGCTTGTTGGCTAAAGAAACTTGTACATGAGAACGGAATCGAATTTCAGGAATGATGGTTTGCAGCATACTCTTGAGTTCAACATTATGGGAGCTGTTGTCCTGCAGCATTTGGAGGGCTACAAGTTCCCTAACCTGGACATACTCCCATCTGATCTTCAGGAGCCACTTCCCTGTACAGTGGTACCGCAGGTTAAGAACATAATTCGTTCCGGAGGTCCGTTCTTAACCTGAAACTGTTCTTAACCTGAGACACCACTTTAGCTAATGGGGCCTTCCGCTGCTGTGCCACCGCTGCCACACAATTTCTGTTCTCATCCTGAAGCAAAGTTCTTAACCCGAGGTACTATTTCTGGGTTAGTGGAGTCTGTAACCTGAAGCGTCTGTAACCTGAGGTACCACTGTACTGAGAGAATTAAGAAGCTCTCTTAAACTAGATTACCTGAATGACTCAGGGAAGGGTAAATCCAGTGATGACCAACTCTAGGCTGGTTCCTGAACTTTCTCATTTCAACATGTGAAAGAGTGTGTACAAAACATCACCCTCCAACAAGTATTTACATGCGAAATATGCTGACAGACAAGCACTATTTGGATCAGTTTCATGGCCAGCACCAGAAGAGGGTACAGAATCCAAATCTACTTTGTAACCTCAAGTAAGGAATCCTAACACTCATGCAGAAAGGCAATTAGCTGTGTAAGTAGCAGAGGCTCACTGGAACAAAGGTTGTAATGTTCCTTCAAAGGCACAGGGGACTTGCTTATCAGGTGCACTGTAGAAAAAGAGATGGAATTAATGTTATCCCTTAGCAGGGCTGCAGGGTCTGGCAGATTTATTAGTCCCTTCCTCTCATAAACATGTCATCCTCAGGAGTTGATTCCAAATTCTGTTTTATTAGCGTTCAGCTCCACATCAAGAAGAGCATAAACAGGCTGCTGAAGAACAGTGGGGAGAAAATGCATTAAATGTTCCTAAGACAAAAACAGGTGCAGTTGAACCTTGGATTGTTAGACAATGCTTGGAAATGCAGGATTATGTTCTCAGGGCTGAGAGAACTGTGTTGTCTCAAATTTCTAGAAGCTGCTTATCGTTGTTAAGAGTGTGATCCAGGGAGTTCCAGGTTCAATCTCAACTTAATTCACCTAATGAGCTATTGTTCAGCTCCTTTCTAATAATTATAATTATTATTATAATTATTATTATTTATTTATACCCCACCTATCTGGCTGGGTTTCACCAGCCAGTCTGGGCAGCATCCAGCATATATAAAAAAGTAATAGAATTTTTGAGTAAAAGCAGCATCATGTTCACATGCACTGAGGTACCCTGTCATTAGAGCTGAGCATCAATTTAACTCACTGCTCCATGTAAGGTTGCTCCATGCATGTGGTTCTTCCTGAGCCACTTATAGACTCTGAAAGAGGTGCAGAAGTCCAGAAGAAATAGGATGAACATTGTGGCGGCAGAACAATGTGGTAGTGGTTGGATATCCAGGTGGAAAAGAGCACAGGGCCCCTGCACCCTCAACAGTTGTGTAGAAGAGTTTCAACTGATGTATCTCCATTACTCACTAAGCCACCCTAGGTAATAGTGTGACATGCAGTAGTGGAGATTGCTCTCATACTTGCTTTGCTGTCATAGAAACTAGGAGCACATAGTCCATCACACTTTTCAGAAGCAAAGAGATTTGTTTATTTTTTGCTATTTGCTCTGCAGTTTGCCAGTCTGAAAGGCCACCTTACCAAGTAGAGTGAAATGACTGCCTCAGGTCATGAAAGGGAAAAGCAAACTATTAACAGCTTCTGCTCCTTTCAGCTCCCTGCATGTCCCCAAAATCAGCTCTGGAGGGTTGAGAGGTATGGAGGAAGAGAGGAAACGGAAGTCCCATTGCGCCAGCACAACTATGCACAGAGAGCATTGGATACAACTCATTGTATTTGTACTCCAGGGAGAGGCTTTGTTCTTTCAGGTGCCAAAATATCTGTAATACAAAGCTACTAGTTGCAAGCATCACTGAAAGAATGAATGTAATGCACATTGAACTACGCAGAGATGGTGTACAATATTGTTGGCATTAATGTCATCTGAGTACCTTAAAAAAGTGAGGCCTGCAGCTTCATATTCTAAATATTTTTCAAGCCCTAACGCCTAGGTAACATTTAGCCATGCAAAGTTATTGTTGTCACAAGTATGATTTGTTGCAATTATTTTTGCCTAGAGAAGAATCTGAATTTGTTACTGCAAGGTGGAAGGGTGTTAGCTCAGAATCCCAGATAGTCTTCAATTTATTGCAAGGCTGACATTACAAGGCGATCAAAATAATTACAACAGTACCAGATCCTTCCTGTTTCTAAAGGGCAATTAAAAGAGAAAGAATTCGTCTGTATATCAATGGAGAATGAGACTGAAGCTAGGAAAGAACAAGGATTGGCCAATTAAACAGCCTTATTAAATGAGAGCTAATTATATTAATCTCTCCATTTCTTTCCTACCCCAGGCTTAATGCAGCCACAATGAAGGGAGGTTTGGACAAAGGCAGCACACAAAGGTCAACCTAGCCTTAATTGTCTTGTTTAAACTTATACTCTCAAAGTATAAGTTGCTGTCTTGAATGAAAATGTAGCATTGTGACACTGCAAAACTAGCTGCATTACAAATTATTCTTGGCTTCAGTGCTCCATTTCATGGGATTAATTTTTTCCCAAAGTGATATAAGCAGAGCTGAAATGTTAGTATAGCATCAATCTTGTTTAAGATATTTATATTAGTTGGAGTGTTTGATCTGCCGCTGCTTCTTTCTTTCACTATTGGTTATTTCAGATTTTAGTGTTGTTTTAATATGCTGACTAGATAATAAACTGCTTTGAGCATTTACCGGTATTTAAACAGAAAGGTGGGATAAAAATATTTTAAAATAAATAGCAAAATAAATTGAATAAATTTTACAGCCAACATGCTGAATCTTTACACAGAAGATGTCCTGATGCCAAGGCACAATTCAGTGGTGGTGTAGAGGAGGAAATTTCAGCTGGTGTAACTTGTGTGTCTCCTGACGGACCATCATTACCTGCCAAAATTCCCCCCTCTAGAAAGCTAAAGGTCATTCCGTCATTCTATCCCAGGTTTGTCAGTGCAGTATGCTTGGGCACCAATGTGCCCAACAGTACCTACAAAAGGTTTTAGTAAAAAAATTCCTTCCTTCAAAAATCCACAATGCTTTTGAGTAGCTGCTTTTCCCACTCAGTTGCTGTTGAAATGGGTTGACCTCTCCTACATAGCCCCATGGCAGCCATTTTGTGTTCTGCCCCACCTGCACACCAGCCATTTCATTACTGGCCCCATGGCACTTTCTCAAAATCACAAATGTGCCCACTGTCTATTAAATGTTTGGAAAAAGTCAGAAGCCCAAGGCAGTACAGTGGTACCTCGGGTTAAGTACTTAATTTGTTCCGGAGGTCAGTTCTTAACCTGAAACTGTTCTTAACCTGAAACACCACTTTAGCTAATGGGGCCTCCTGCTGCTGCCGCGCCGCCAGAGCACGATTTCTGTTCTCATACTGAAGTAAAGTTCTTAACCCAAGGTACTATTTCTGGGTTCGTGGAGTCTGTAACCTGAAGCGTATGTAACCTGAAGCGTATGTAACACGAGGTACCACTGTATAAGTTCCTCAACTAAGTTTATTCAACATTTGTCAGTGACAACAGCTCACTCATAGGAACACAAGAACCAAACTGACTGGACAACACAATAATAATCCTGAGCATGAACTGACCGTTGACAGTTGACAGTTGAAAGAGTATGTGCTTACTTGCCATTAGAATGTTCGTCTACCAATGCTTCTACGATTGGTTAGAACACACCTTGTAACATAAAATGTGTTAAACCCAATATATAACACTCCTCCCCCAAACTTCCTAAAAAAAGGAACAAACATA